TTGCCGACCTATAATAACAAAAATAATTTCGGATGTGTTGGAAAGAACTTAGAAACGCATAAAAGTGGTTTGAATTATGCGCATATGCCTCTAATTACATTTGTGAGTACTCTAAAAGCAGGTTTAATGCCACCGGTACATCATAGAGAATCGTTGAAAACACCCAGCGAATGCAAAGAGAAACAAAGCGGATCCAACAACAACTTCATCGTGCGTCTCAGCCAGCTTGATCACCAAGCTACGCAGAGCAGGCCGTATTCAGACACTAAAGACGAATCTCAGCCACGTCTCATAAACCCTTAATGCCCAGCTCTTGCTGCACTCGGGCTCACGCTCTTCCTTGAAGTTTCTCAGAAACGCTTAGTAATAACGGACGCGAAAACCAAAACACCAATTGGCGACTCGAGGATTCTTTATTGTAACACCAACATATAAACACTGTTACAACTAAGGTCTGTGAACAAATATTACAATAATAAATCACAATATTACTTCTGACGGTTTTCTGCTGACTTCTTTCTGAACAGCGACCGATGAGACGATGACTGTCGTATTGATGCCTCCGCGAAAATTGGGGAAGTTGGTTTTGAGCAAACAACAATGAATTGATCGTTCAATCTTCAACTACATTGACACTCCCCGGCAAAAAAGGAATCCAACCTCTTTTTTCCATCACGACCAATACACGTTGACTTGAATGCCATTGCGAGAACCTGGGTCACACGGACAGAGCTGAAATGGAAAACAAACAGAAAAGCCAACACACCACAGGCTTACCCACAGCACAATCTCACACATCAATGACGACCGGCGCCTTCCAGTTAAAGGCATCCTCTTGACATCTTGCAACACAATCTCCACTTACTAGAATGACTCTTGCAGAATGCAACGTGACCATAGCACCAACTCATGATACTCTATGCACATCCTCTTATCTACTCACTACCAATTACCACTGAAATCGCTTGTCACTCATTCTGCCTCAGTTCTAGTAACGGTGACGTATGCGAGCCTCAGTCGTTTACACTCTTTCTCCCCGGCGTGTCGGACCGCAGCTAACAATTATCTCCGTGTGCATTTCATTCTCAGAACTAGCCTCCCCGGCGTATACGACCCATCTGCTGTCTCTAACATCAATCAATTCATTCACGGATGTAGAAGACTAGAAACAACTTCAGAAGTAATCACGACGAAAATTTTAACAAAATTATGCAATAAAAACAAGGTACGAAAACAAGGAGTAAACACAATGAATCCAAAAACACCACCAATTGATATGACACACCACACGTATATACAAACAGTACACACAAACTCGCGGATCATGTCTTGATAGAATTCCTTTGAAGAATCGCAGGACTTACACCAGTACGCCTACAACCCTTCTCACGTTGACGATTGTAAGTTGTGGAATGTCCGGACACAAACAAGATTAACCAACAATTACAATAATTGGAACTCATACAAGTATTTAACACAAACATGTGTACAATCAACACATCAAATGTTGTGGATTCTGGCACGACAAACCACCCTTGAAGAACTGTAGGACTTACAGCAGTACGCCTAAATTCCTTCTCAGGTTGATAATCCAAGTGGAAGTCGTCCGGACACAAACAGAATTACCAACAGCTAGATGATAGACGATATCAATTCAGTATATACAATATGAACATATGTACAAAATCACACACCAAGCACATTGGACTGCTCATTGATGCGCTACTCTTTGAAGAATTGTAGGAATTACAGCAGTACGCCTACAACCCTTCTCAGGTTGACGCTCTAGGTTGGAAAATCGTCGAAGAGTACATTTGCTGACTTCCTTCTATCAGCTGTATCCTCAAATCTGAACGGTAACACGCTCATATCATTGTATCGTAGAACATAGATGACGAACAAACACACGAAGTATCTGGTCAAACAAGTGTAGAAACAGAGTAATTTACACCAAAGATAATAACATTCAATTAGTAACTTGAAACTAGAAATGCCTTTATTCATGCAAGTGAATTTAACAATTACTCTCTCGTTTACACTTGGGTATCCTCACTAAACTGAGCAATATCTTTCGTCTTTTCAAACGCACCAATACTATCATAGTCATTGCACAAGATACTTGAGTTGATGGGCGTCTGTTTCATTGTGGATGACAGCACCAACGACGACTGATTGATATTAGTTGATGAAGTTAGCGGTGGATCAAAAGCTGTTGTTGCTCGACTTTCAGAAAGTTGTCTACCTCCAAGACCACCACCACTGCTGTCTTTTACTATCAGCTCAGGTATAGCACTAGCATCTGATGATAGGTGGGCTGCATGCTGATCAATCACACTGACGGTCTCACAAGTATGTATGCCTTCTGCAACTGCATCTGCATTTATTTCTAATTTACGTTCAAGTTGTACAGAACCCTTGTTCAAATTAGCAGTAGTAGGCAAATCCCTCATCTCATCATGATCAACAAAAGACATCTGTGAAGTATCATAATCAGTATCGCGAATATTCACTTTGATGTCAATTTCATCATTTTCAAATTCATTAATAACAGAAGTAGAAAATTTTGCTTCCTTAGGTTCTAAGTGAGAATGCAAAATGCTGGCGAATTGCTCATCGATTGATTGACACTATCTTTGACTAATTTCAGGATATCATCAAACCTTGGCTCGATACCCTCATCCTCCATACGAGAGCTTATCTTCACCCACTTCCTTAGCATCCGAGTAGGTAGGCGTCTCGCAATTACCTCTAGGACTGAGCTCGAGTTGAGGTCACTCATGCAATTCATAGAAATCAAGGTATTCTTATAAGTCATAAGATTATCTAAAAACTCAGTAAGTGCCTCGGAGTCATCTTTAAGTTGACTGCCGTTACCTTTGACAGCTTCGTATATGTTCCTTACAATCATTGAAGGTCTTCCAAACCTTTGACGTAATATGCTCATAGCCTCAGCGTATCCCTCATTAGGGGGCATGAGCTTACAGTACTGCATAGTTCTTGAAGCATCTCCAGTGCAATACCTCATCAAATACATCAATTTCATTTCATCAGTTAATAAAAAACTACTCAGCATGATCTCGAACTCCTTTACAAATTGTAAATAATCAGCCGGGTTTCCGTCGAAACACCGTGGTTCAAATTTAGGGAGTTTGATGTTCCTATTATCCCTGAACGGCGAAACAGTAACATCAACCATGTCATGCTTAACATCAGACACATCGTTACAATTAACAGACAGATCACCATGACTTACTTTCCTGTTTGCATCCAAGACGCTCTGTCCCTTGTTTGACCCAGGCATTGTTGAACTTGACCAAATTCCAAAGAAGTTCCAGATATTGCTTGTTCAAAGAGGACTTGACCGGCACCAGGAGAGATGAACGGTGACTATCCAAAGTCGTGCCAACTGTCCAAAACCGTTTAAAAACTGACGTTGTACCATCAGAAACTGTCAGCCACGTCTCATAAACCCTTAATGCCCAGCTCTTGCTGCACTCGGGCTCACGCTCTTCCTTGAAGTTTCTCAGAAACGCTTAGTAATAACGGACGCGAAAACCAAAACACCAATTGGCGACTCGAGGATTCTTTATTGTAACACCAACATATAAGCACTGTTACAACTAAGGTCTGTGAACAAATATTACAATAATAAATCACAATATTACTTCTGACGGTTTTCTGCTGACTTCTTTCTGAACAGCGACCGATGAGACGATGACTGTCGTATTGATGCCTCCGCGAAAATTGGGGAAGTTGGTTTTGAGCAAACAACAATGAATTGATCGTTCAATCTTCAACTACTTTGACAACGTTACTTTTTGCAAATTTCTTCTATGTGTCAACTTCCGTTACAGGAAGGATTTTAATTTGCACAACCCATCCTCCAAAAATTACTCCGAAAATATAGGGAACACTTACTGGGGAGCCTGGAAGAGTCAGAAACAGCATACACAAAAGTTAGCGCATTAGGAAACCAGCACAGGACAACAAAATACTCACAGAAGTCCATACCACAGCGGAAAGGATGTCTACAGTCACAAACTTTTTCAAGAAGCGACTGCTACTTCTGCATTTTGGTAAGCTTGCTAGGAATTTTGGGCACAACACAGGTGAGTCACTTGTCTATGTAAACTGTAGAATTACGTTAACCTGTTCGCCTTCACCTTCTCCCCAAAAGTTGCAGGATTAGTAAGTAACAAAGAGTGGGTCGTGTTAGTGAGATAAGTAGCAACCTGTTCTCTCATACTTTCCTGATGTGACCCAGAGACGTTAAGGCCCGCAATAGGGACTCACAAGTTTCAGCTTACGACGACCAATGGAGATCGCATGCCATCACAGGGAGTGGTCCTACTATCTCTTAAGTTTGGGACACTTTCACATCACATAGAAACAGGCAACGCCCCACCTTGTAGACAACCTACACGGCTGGTACCTGCACACTACTGAAAGAAGCTGAATTAGTTGATAAACTGTCAGCGAAGAATGCCATCAAATCCTCCGTATTTCCATGGGCTCCCCTAGTAATCTTGATTAAAAAATCCAATGAAACACCACGGTTATGTGTGGATTATCACAACCTGAACCAGTTAACCAGACGAGACTGTTTCCCCCTGCAACGCAAAGACGACATTTTTGATGCCATAGGAAGGTCGAATTTGTTTACCATAGAAGATTTAGCATCAGGATATTGGAAAGTAGAAGTGTAACAACAGAAGACAAGGGCCAGGCAACAGATCGTTTTATTATGAAAATCAACACGTATTTATACATATTTCAGACAACATTATTATAGACAAGCGCAGTCATCTGATTGGTTGTTTAGGTAGACAAACGCAGGCTTCTGATTGGTTGTTTCGGGATTCCTTGACAAATAGAGTTCTCTCTGCGAATCATATTCTGCCACGTTAACTTTGCTGTGATTGGTTGTTGACTCAGGCTTGTTCATATTTTCTCACGGCCCATATTAGTGACCTAGACCTTAACGTAGATTAGTGCCAACCAATCGGCTAGCAGCCTTCTCTCACCACACTCGTCCCCCCGTCAAATACGTGCGACTGAAGTCGGCTTGATCTACTTGGTGCAGGCGTCATCGTTGGCTTGTCTCGCTGTATCCATTTCTGGAGCTCGCTGACGTTCACGCGCCTCTCATTGTTCGCCATTGCGACTGTGTGTGCGTAACCCCATCTCGAAGTGACCATATATGGTCCTTCCCGCTTTGGAAACTGTTTGCCTGACCCTGTCGAACATTCGTCCATACTTCGGCCCACACCTTCATATGCTGCTTTCGCCCGACCTCCCAGCAGCGTCTCAAGTAGCAGCTCCATCGCTGACAGATCTTGAACGCCACTCAACTGCGCAGAAGCCTTGAAGTCCTGCCCGAAGATCCATATGTCTCCATCAAAAATTGCAGGGTATAGGCTTTTCATTTGTCGGTAGGCAGCGACACCAAATGTAACAACAGAAGACAAGGGCCAGGCAACAGATCGTTTTATTATGAAAATCAACACGTATTTATACATATTTCAGACAACATTATTATAGACAAGCGCAGTCATCTGATTGGTTGTTTAGGTAGACAAACGCAGGCTTCTGATTGGTTGTTTCGGGATTCCTTGACAAATAGAGTTCTCTCTGCGAATCATATTCTGCCACGTTAACTTTGCTGTGATTGGTTGTTGACTCAGGCTTGTTCATATTTTCTCACGGCCCATATTAGTGACCTAGACCTTAACGTAGATTAGTGCCAACCAATCGGCTAGCAGCCTTCTCTCACCACAGAAGTACACCCACAAGACAGGCAAAAACAGCATTCATTATACAATCAGGCCTGTATGAGCTTGAAAAAATGACGTTCGAGTCATTAAATACCTCAGCAACACTTCAGCGCCTTGTGCAAACCGCCTCGAGTGACTGTATACCAGGTAAGTGTTTGGTGTATCTAGATGATGTTATAATACACAGAAAGACAATGACCGAAAATTTAATTGGTTTTTCCGAAGTCCTAGAACGAATGCAAAAGGTCGGGCTAAAACTAAGCCCAGTAAAATGCCAATCCTTCTTAGGTCACGCTGCTTTATCCGAAGGCATTTGTCAATGTAGTTGAAGATTGAACGATCAATTCATTGTTGTTTGCTCAAAACCAACTTCCCCAATTTTCGCGGAGGCATCAATACGACAGTCATCGTCTCATCGGTCGCTGTTCAGAAAGAAGTCAGCAGAAAACCGTCAGAAGTAATATTGTGATTTATTATTGTAATATTTGTTCACAGACCTTAGTTGTAACAGTGCTTATATGTTGGTGTTACAATAAAGAATCCTCGAGTCGCCAATTGGTGTTTTGGTTTTCGCGTCCGTTATTACTAAGCGTTTCTGAGAAACTTCAAGGAAGAGCGTGAGCCCGAGTGCAGCAAGAGCTGGGCATTAAGGGTTTATGAGACGTGGCTGACAGTTTCTGATGGTACAACGTCAGTTTTTAAACGGTTTTGGACAGTTGGCACGACTTTGGATAGTCACCGTTCATCTCTCCTGGTGCCGGTCAAGTCCTCTTTGAACAAGCAATATCTGGAACTTCTTTGGAATTTGGTCAAGTTCAACAATGCCTGGGTCAAACAAGGGACAGAGCGTCTTGGATGCAAACAGGAAAGTAAGTCATGGTGATCTGTCTGTTAATTGTAACGATGTGTCTGATGTTAAGCATGACATGGTTGATGTTACTGTTTCGCCGTTCAGGGATAATAGGAACATCAAACTCCCTAAATTTGAACCACGGTGTTTCGACGGAAACCCGGCTGATTATTTACAATTTGTAAAGGAGTTCGAGATCATGCTGAGTAGTTTTTTATTAACTGATGAAATGAAATTGATGTATTTGATGAGGTATTGCACTGGAGATGCTTCAAGAACTATGCAGTACTGTAAGCTCATGCCCCCTAATGAGGGATACGCTGAGGCTATGAGCATATTACGTCAAAGGTTTGGAAGACCTTCAATGATTGTAAGGAACATATACGAAGCTGTCAAAGGTAACGGCAGTCAACTTAAAGATGACTCCGAGGCACTTACTGAGTTTTTAGATAATCTTATGACTTATAAGAATACCTTGATTTCTATGAATTGCATGAGTGACCTCAACTCGAGCTCAGTCCTAGAGGTAATTGCGAGACGCCTACCTACTCGGATGCTAAGGAAGTGGGTGAAGATAAGCTCTCGTATGGAGGATGAGGGTATCGAGCCAAGGTTTGATGATATCCTGAAATTAGTCAAAGATAGTGTCAATCAATCGATGAGCATGTTTGCCAGTATATTGAATCTCACCCCTAGAATGGAGCAGTCTAAGAGCAAAACGCAATCATTGATGACGAATAGGCCTCAGAGAGGTGGATATCGAGAAGGCTACATGATGTCTACTAATGCATATAGACATAGTGAGTGTAACAGGTTTCGTAGTACATCCTCAACAGATAAGTTGCAAGCTGCAAGAGAAACACGGTTGTGTTTTTCACGTTCGCAAGAGGTGCATACAAAGGTGAACTGTGAACCAGTAACCAAGTTCAGTAATAAGCTAAATTTGAAATCTAGTTCTGACTCCGAATTGTGTGACGATAACGGTGCGGTGAAGAAGTCTGTAGTTACAACTGGTAAGCCATTGTTGAATAGAGTGTCACAGAATTGAGTTATTGCTTCAGAGTGCAGTTCTGACCCTACAAGTTTACAAGGTATTACTAGTCAGAGTGTAGTTATAAAACCTTTTAGGATTTGCGAGGAGGAAACAAAATTGTCTACTTCTGTTATTAAAGAGTTTGAAAATAATGATAAAGGTTGACGCATATCTCATTCAACAACTTCTAATTAATTTATTCTCGCGTACCAAAGACAAAACAAAAGCCAATAATTGATCGTCCAAACCAAGCGATATATTTAGAAGCCAAAACAAGCCGTTAGACGAACGCTTGACTAGCTAGTGATCGTGCACGTGACACGACGGGGTACCAAATGGCGGGGATGCTTGACCGGAAGCCTTCAGCTAAACAAGTCCACTTAAACAGTGGTGGTCAGCATCCAACGAGTGATTGCTGTGGTCAATAATTTTGGGGAATTATTTACCGCTACAGCTCACTCCCCCCCTAGTGGGGTCGTGAGGACCCTAAGACAGAACCAGCCGGAAGTAAAAAATCTCGATGGATCCCTTTCGGTTGAAAAACTCTTCCGAGTGGCTTGGTGGTATGCCTACTGGTTTGTCTGCCTATGCTAATAGGGTGTTTGTACATAGCTTCCTGGTTGTTGTTCGTTGGGTTCCGTGCTTCGTTTGTTTCCTGTCCAGTGCCCGTCGCACCTGGAAAAGAAAACAAGAACACTAAGAACCATGCCGAGGAAAATGTACGAAATGAGCTTTTTGGTTAAAAAAAATTGTGTGCGTTTACTATACAGTAAAATAATGTTAAGTGCAGAACATCGAGAAAAAAAATACATCTAATTAATTTTTTGTGTATGTTACATGAACCGTTGGAAAAAGAAATTTTGTGTTCGGTGGTACTGTATATAAAAAAATTGATACGTCAAAAAAATAGTCAGTACCACAAACGAATGGGTTGCGTGAATCACACGACTTCGTTAAGTCAAATAAGTGTGCAAATGTTCTGGGAACCTTACGGTGCGTCCAGAACGGTTTTTCTTAAGAGGCTCAACCTTAGTAGCCAGTGGGCGAATGCCCTTGAAGTCAATAGTGTGACCCAGGAAGTCGAGTGAGTCAACACCGATTTGACACTTTTGAATATTGATGGTAACACCATGTTGGCGTAACCTGTCAAATGCCAAGTCCAAGTGCCTAAGGTGAGTTTCCTTGTCTGGACTGGCAATGAGGCAGTCGTCTAAGTATGCGTATACAAAGTCGAGACCGCGAAATACTTCGTCAATGAAGCGTTGGAATGTTTGGGCTGCATTCCGGAGACCGAATGGCATACGTAGAAATTCAAAAAGTCCGAAAGGCGTAATGATAGCCGTTTTCGGGATGTCTTCTGTTGCCATTGGGATTTGGTTATACGCTTTAACCAAGTCGATTTTGGAGAATATAGTCGCGCCGGATAAGGTTGCCGTCAAGTCGTGTATATGAGGCAACGGGTAGCAATCAGGGGTTGTTTTGGCATTCACTCGCCCGTAATCACCGGTGGGTCGCCAATCATTGCTATGAAGTGGGGATGCCCATGGGCTATTCGAAGGTCGAATGATGCCAAGGGTAAGCATATGGTCAAATTCATTCCTGGCGATTCTCAGTTTGTCAGGAGCTAATCGTCGTGCTTTAGATGTCACAGGTTGTCCTGTGGTAATGATGTGGTGCATAACATTGCTGGTTATGCACGGTAGGTCGTTCGACGGGCAATTAAGTTCCGGATACTTGTCAACAATAGGTTGAAAAGTTGGATCAAGAATTGCCTTTATCTTAACGGGTGACAAACTAGGGCCTATGTAGCTGATGCCTTTGATAGACAGACTAGTAGTATTGTCAATCAGTCGTTTTCGGCGGACGTCTACGAGCCAATGATGGGCATTGTAACGTCAGCGAGAAGGAAAATCCACCGAATAGGTTTGCGTAAACCTACGTTCAGACAGACGTATTTCCTACCAAAGGTTGCGATTGGTTTTCCATTTGCAGCCTGTAAGTTGAAGGTAGGTTCCTTCTGTCGATCTGCTGCTGTAGCAGGAAGGACGCTGACTTCGGCGCCTGTGTCGACTAAGTATCGAGTCTGGCTTATCACATCATGGATGTAAAGAAGGCGGCTAGTGCCACCGGCGACGGTTGCCGCTAACGCGTGCCGGCGGGATAGTTTCCCACAGACTTTGAGACATTTCCGAAGTTACAAGGCTTACGGCAACACTTCGCTTCTTGGCCATAGGTGTTGTGGTACCAGCACCAGTCAGGGTTTTTCAGTGAACGTGGTTTGGACTTAGATCGACCACGTGAGTTCCTGCGTTGAGGAGATTTAGGACGACGGTCGGAGGATTTAGAAGGCATGTTTGACCTAAACATCTGCTGGATGGAGTTGCATAACTCTATCATTGCAGGATCCTCACTCGAAGTCTGCTTAGTCATCGAGCATATTTCGGAAACAGGCCGTTTAGTTATTTCTAGAATCCTATCTGCAGTAATAGCTAAGTCCTCTATTACAGTACCCTGAAGTGTCACAAGTACGGTCTGTACAGACTGTGGCAACTTGGTTAAGAAGAGTTCTCTAAATAGTCCTTCGTCGAACTGAATTTGGCCGACGACTTCTTTCATTCTTGTCAGCATGCTCACGGCTGACTGATCTCCTAACTCGATGTTACGAAATAATTCATCTAGACGTTGTCGGTCCGTGAGAACGTTTCTCCTTAGGAGGGATGCTTTGAGCAACTCGTACGAGTTACTTACCTCGGGACTCAACATCTGTGATGTTACGTACTTGCTGAATTCCCGCGGTAGGGCGTGAATAACTGCAAGTAACTGTGAACGTTGATCGGTTATCTCATGCTCACAAAAATCTGCTTCAGCTAGCAGAAACTACGTTTCAGCATTATCTGGCCAGTATGGTACGAGCTGAATGGTTTTAGGAGTTGAGCGGATACGGATGACCTTGGGACTAAGATCACTCATGACGAAAATTATGTCGAATTATATATGGTACAAGAACAAATACAAAATGGAACGAACTCACCGGGGTTATCTGCGGATTTATCGTGGATGAAGTTCGCGGTTGGGCTCACCAGTTTAAAGGTTGACGGATATCTCGTTCAACAACTTCT